CCTTAGGTGGGCAAGAATTTACAAAGAACTTAATATAGACAGGATGGGCCCAGAATAAGGCCCATTACAGAAAAGAAACATAAATAACAAGAAAGAATAAACAACCTATGGGCCATTCGGCCCATCTTCTCTACACTTTTTACAAAAGCCATCTCAAGACCTTGTCTTCTTCTCTTAACAACCCTTGACTCTCCTTGTTATCCAAATGCTCAGTTTGGGAAGTTACTCATAATTTCCTCTCCTCAATTCTTTCAAAGTGCTCTTTGTTCCACTCTTTAATCTTACATTTGTGTCATAGTTTTCAAGGTGCCAAGGTGAGGCTTGTTGACAAGGAGCACCTTGTCTTCTAGTTGCCTAGGTGATGGATGTTTTTAAGTAAAAAACATATATCCTAGGGTAGTTCCCTTGGTTCCATAGTCATATTTCCTTAATAAATATCTGTAATTTTCATAAGAAAAGTATAAACTTCATGTTAAAGTATAGAAAATGAACATATTCGTTAGAAGAAAAAGAAGAAAGAAAAGAAAAATAAAAAAATATAGGGGCTGAACCCCAATTTTTTTTTATTGGAAAAGAGGAAGAAGAAGTGTTGATTAGACAATTTATTTTTTCTTTTTCTTTTAAGTTCTTCCTTATCGGTTCAGGTTTTAAAGTAAGTCTTTGAGGTTCAATACAACAGTTAGCAATGTCTATGTTGATTAAACCCTAACAAATAAGAAAATAATAAAAAGAAATTATTATATTTTGATTGATATTAGTTTATCCATTTTGAATTAAACATAACCAAAATCATTGTTGATAGCCTTTGCCTTTTAGACATTAGCTTTGAATTAAATGCATAATTGGGTTGTCTTTTGGACATTTGAAATATGTATTTTAGGCTGAGAATTGTCATCATTGACACATCACGTACTTTCCAATAAGAAGATTGGGATCTACTATACAGAAAAATAATTAAAAAATAATTGAAAAAACAGATGGAGAAGAATAAACCAATTAAGAATGGATACAGAAAAGTTCTTTGTTTCAATATTTCATGTAAAAGGCAGAAATAATCAAATAGAAACAAAAGAAAAGACTAACCAACTTTGCCGACATGTGACACTTACAAAGACAAAACTGTATGCAAGGTTGGACATTATGGGAAGATGCACTAGAGCAGCAGTGATCTGGACATTATGGGAAGAAAGAAATGCAAGAATCTTCCAAGAGAAGGAAAGAAGTAAACAACAAATTATGGAGTGTGTTATGACCAAGGTTATACATTGGACCTCTTCAAATGTTTCTCTTTTGATGCTATCTGGAGGAACTGGAGCTTCATAGCCTTTAGTGCAGTACAAAAAATTAAAGCAAGGTCGGTTTGGAATCCTCCCTTTGAAGATTGGCTGAGACTAAACTTTGATGGGAGCAGCCAAGGCAACCGAGGTCCGTTTGGCATAGGAGGGGCTGTAAGAGACAAGGAAGGAAATTTAAAAGCCATCTTTTCATGACCAATGGGACATGGAGACTCTTTAAAGGCAGAACTATATGCAGTCCTATAAGGCATTCAGGTTGCAAAAGATCTAGGAGTGGAGAAATTGATGATAGAAGGGGACTCCAAGGTGGTGGTGGGTTGGCTAAAGAACCCTGATTCTGTGATTTGGTGTTACAGAAATGAAATGAAGAAGTTCAAATGGCTCACACAACAGATGATTTTAATTATATAGTGGGTGGGAAGGGAGGCCAATGAACTGGCTGATTCTGTAGCTAAGCAAGGGGTAACTAGGGATCAGATGTACTGGGCCCATTTGTAAATCTGCTATATATTTTTGTTAAAAAGTGAGGCTGCACCTTGTGCCTCACACTGGGATGCTTGTAACAGATGTAATCCTTTGCTTCTAATGAGTTTTAATGATAGTTATTTATCAAAAAAAAAGACAAAACTGTATGCAAAGAGGAATAGGTAAGATGTTAGGTTTTTTGGGTTACTTAAGTCGGTTCAGGTTGGGTTTGATTCAGTTTATAAAAGCATAACCCACAACCGAACTAAACGATCGAGTTCTGTTGTTTTCTAAACCGAAAAAGACTGTCTTTGAAAACTACAAAATTGGTCGAATCAGACCACTTTGGTCAGTTTTTACCATTTTGTGAACAGCCCTAGTATAAAATATGTATTGGTACATTTGCAAATGAAATTTGTACAGATTTTCAATCAATTCCACTCTTAATTTGGGCCATAAAGCCCAATAAAAGATGGATATATAAAAATATATACATAAATACTTTCAAACCCAACCAACTCTCCCAAGACAACCTGGCCCAACCAAAGCCCAAACCTATCCTGAGTTGTAATGGGTTAAGCTCAGGTTGGGCCTAGGTTGATAAGCTTGGGCTCCACCTTGGGTTGGGCCAGGCCCGTGTGCAATGTTTGTCTCTTTAGGGTTGGGCCTGGGTTGATCTTCAGCCCCAC